AGGGGCTGTCCTGATTGGCTGAGCCTCCTGCCACTCAAGAGCCGTTTTGCTCTTGTTTCAGCGTGGGAACCACTGCCTCTAGTGCGGTGCCCAGAGGCCCGGCTCCATCCTTGCTGCTCTCCTCCCGATGACCTTGGGCAAGTCATTCACCGTCAGTGCCTCAGTTTACCCACAGGGTGCTGAGCGCTTACCCCACTGCGGGATGCAGTGGGCAAGCAGAGAGGAGAACAGCCGAGGTTCCCCGCGGTGGGAATAGCAACGGAATGGCCGCGCTACCCGGCCTGGGACCTGGGCCACGGGGTTCCCAGCTGCCGCCTTGCCACCAGACAAGGGCCCCTTTGAGGACCCCACAGGACGAAGGAAGCTGGCCATCCCCATGGGTCCCTTTCAGAGCTCCTGCTTGGCAAGGAAGGAGCAGGATCTTGTGTGGGTGCAGCCAGAGATGCGGGGACCCCCGGCAGACAGGCACATTCACAGCAGGAAGAGTGCAGCTGCTCCTCCCCCACCCTGGCCGCCGCTGTCCTCACAGCCGTCCCAGGCCAGCTGTCACGCTGGGCTGCTCCCTTCATCCCGCAGAGCTGTCTGGTCTTGGGACAAGCAGAGGGCAAACTGCTTTGCTTGTCTCCTCCCCTGGGACCTCCTGCAGGCTCGACTGTGGTCTGTGTCATAGCAGAAGCACAGCTGGTGTCACCCAAGTGACTGTGACAACTCAGAAACAACCGGGCGGTGTTCCATCTTAGAGCTTTGGGCAGGTGCTTTGTGGCCTGCCTGTATCTGGGGGTTGTGTTGTTTTTTAAGACAGGGTCTCACTAGGTAGTGCAGGCTGCCCTTGAACTCACTGTATCCCAGGCTGGCCTCAAACTCAAGGTGATCCTCCTGCCTCAGCCTCCCAAGTGCTGAGATTACAGGCATGCGCCACCACACCTGGCAGTATATCTGGGGTTTTAACTTGAGGTCATTGGGGTTCCTGAAATTGTTTACAAAATGCTACCTACACATGAATTTTCTAGGGGAGTCCATGACCCGCAAAATGTTAATAAGTACTGATCAAGAAAAGGGACCCCTACGAGCAGGTAGATTTTGTAGTAAAACGGTTTGTCAGCAGAAAGCAGACAGTGGGCTGTGGGTGATGAGCCGTGTAAAACCACTGGACACACACACACACACACACACACAGGAAGTGTAGCTACTTAAAGTGAGGGAAGGTTTTATCTCTGGGTGAGATAACAATTTTTATTTGATTTGTGGTTTTCTGTGTTTGTCAAATGCATACGTATTTCCTTGTGGGGGCGCTCATTCTGAGAAGCCAAGGTGGAACAAACTGCAGGCCTCTTCCCAGGGTCTCCCTCAGGCCACCACTGACCTCCTGGCCTGGTGGTGTGGACCAAGTTCCAAAGTTGGGGTGCAGGGGTGAGCTTCCCCAGGGTGGCAGCCCCGCCCCTGCCTCTCTAGATCCCAGCCTGAGACTTCTACGGCCCACACTTCCTGGACGGGTGGCGACCCAGGAAGCAGCGACAGTGACTTGCTTCTCCATGAGGGAACAGAGATGCTTTGGGGCTTGAGGTCCCCGCGTGGGCTCCCCACCTCCACCCCCTGACCCCCACCTTCTCGCCCCTCCCCAGGGAGCTCCGGGCCCAGCAGCATGGGGGAGGCCTGCATCAAGGTCACCAAGTACTTCCTGTTCCTCTTCAACCTGCTCTTCTTCGTAAGTGCCCGAAGCTGGACAGTCCCAACACCCCCAGGGCCATCCTGGGTGTCACGGGGTGGTGGGTGTCCTCGTGAGGGCCAGGGTTGGACCCCCTGGAAGGAGGCTGGGGGTAGCACAGGATTCCCAGTGGTATCCCTGCATGGCTGCCTCTTCCAGAGCCTGTGCCGGGGGATGGAGGAGTGGAGGGTACTGGAGGGGTGGGAGGAGGACGGCCGGGGCGCCCCCCCACCCTGCAGGTATTGCACAGTCCTTCCCGGAGCCCCCTCCCCCACCTTGCCACACCGGAGCTCCCAAGGGCTGAGCCTGGGGCAGGGGCACAGGGCCCCCCTTTTCCCAACAGCCCCCCGCAGGCCTCCCAGGGCCCCTGGCCACAGTCCGCCCAGATGTGGGCATCGTGGCACATCTGGAGCTGGCTCCCCTGGAGCCTGGGTTCTCCCCTCCGGCCTGGCACTGCCTGCCTCTGCCCCGAGCTGCCAGGCTGCGTGCGAGTGTGTGAGTGTGCGTGCCTGCGTGCATGCGTACGTAGGCGTGTGTGTGTGGACGTGTGTGCATGCAGTGGGGTGCCAGCGGCCCAGAGCGTGTTGGGGTGTGGCTCCTCCATCTCACCGGTTCACCCGAAACTGCTAAAAGTCAGGTTCTGGGACGTGATGTTTATGATGATCCAGTTTTATTTTTCAAATGTATCAATTCATAAAAACATGACTATTTTTGAGAGGAGAGGAAAATATCTCAATGTTCATTTGGGGGCTCCCTGGAAAGTGAAATTTTATTCTTTTTTGTTATGTTTTGTTTTTGAGACAGAGTCTCAATAGGTAGTCTAGGTTGGCCTCGAGCTCATGGCGATCCTCCTGGAGCTGTGTGCCCTGCTGTCTGTCAGCCACCAGCTTGTCCTAGCTACCAGGCCTGGATCCACCCGGTGCCGGGGTCCACCCTGGGCGCCCCCAGCTTGGTGGCCAGGTTCTGACCCGGCCTCTGGGAAGCAGCTGCCCGGGGGGAAGCCAAGCTTGCCCTGGTGGACACTTGGTCCCCGGCCGGGGTGGGTGGGCGTGCGGCAGCGTGGAGCAGCCCTGGGCCTCAGGATGGAGAGGGGTTGGGGCTCTGCCAGATGACACAGAGAGTGGGATTCGGGAGCGCAGATACCCTCTCCTCCCTCCCGCGGTTAGGGTTAGGGTTAGGGTTAGGGTTAGGGTTAGGGTTAGGGTTAGGGTTAGGGTTAGGGTTAGGGAGCTGGGTGTGGTCTGATCGGGGTCCCTTCCTGTCCTGTTCCCTGTGGATCCAGATGCCTGTGTACCTGGGTGCTCAGGGGCAGAGGCCCTGCCTGGTCAGGGAGGGATGCAAAGGCTCTGGGTGGTGACAGGCGTGGCTGCCTGGGGGCAGGACAGGCCCCCTGCACCTTCCAGGGTGAACAGATGGGGTTTGTAGCTTGGAAACTTGCCCTGGGCACACCAGACCCCACAGTATGGCCGGCACCCTCCCGCCCCAGCACCCCAGCAAATCACCATGGCTACTTTTCCCGGGAGCAAGGCTGGGGGTCGGCGGATGTGGGGCCCCCGCCCCAGTCCCAGCTCACAAAGAAAGGGCTGCAGGCATTGCTGATTCTGGTAGGCCGCCCGCCGGGCCTCCTTTCTGCTGCCCATGGCCTGCAGGCTGGGCCAGCGCACCTGACGGTCACACTTCGGTCATCAGCCTTTGGGGGTGGCAGGGACCTCTCGGGGTTCCTTTCCATGGGCTGGGGTCTTAGGGACTTGGGATCAGGTTTGCCCAGAGGGCGTTTTCCGACTTGTCCCCCACCCCTTGGAGAGGCTGCCCCTTGCCTTCCCAGAGGGGTGTAGCTGGTCGCTGGGCAGGGCTCTGGTGGGCACCGTCCCCAGGCCCTGGACAGCCCCCTTGGGCCCCTCCAGCTGTGTAGTGGAGGACCCTGCCCCTCTCCAGTGACTCAGTGGCCTTCCTGTCCCCAGACCCTCTCTTTCTGTGTAAGGCCCAGGACGGATGCCACGCATCCCTGGAGCCCACCGGCTAGCCCCTGGTAGCGGAAGTCAGGGCCTCAGTTTCCCTGTGTTCAAAAGGACAGGAACAGGGCACCCTGACCAGAGGGACTCCTCAGTGATGGCTCTGGTAGAGGTCAGCAGGGGGCAGGGGGCAGTGTCCTCCAACTATGTCATTCAGCCTGGCCTTGAACTCACCGTGTAGTCCAGACTAGCCTCAGACTTGTGGTGATCCACCTGCCTCAGCCTCCCGAGGGCTGGGGCTACAGGTATTTGCCCCCACGCCCGGTGCTTGATTTTATTTTTTTTAACTGTTGCTGCTAAGCATGGCTCATCTTGATTCTGAGTTTGTACTTTGCCCGAGGGAGGCCCTGGCCCGCCTGGCTCAGGCAGCCGTGGCCTTGGACCTGACCTGTGCTCTGGGGTTCACAGCGGAGGGGAAACCCAGGGCTGGTGACAAAGGTGGGGCTCTGTGGGTGGTCACAGCCAGCCTTGAGGGGCGACCTTCCCTCGGTCTGTGGTGTTGCCCCAGCCTGAGCCACCAGGTGTTGGGGCCTGGGCAGGGACCCTACTGGGGAGGTGAACTTGGGGGAACCTGGCCAGATGGTGGGGAACAGAGGCCAGTAATCCCGGCCTGCTTTGTTACCCCTCATGTACTTCCCTCTCTCCTCCCCTCCCCTTTCCTCCCCCTTCCCTCCTCTCTTCTCTTCTCTCTCTCTCTCTTTTGATTTTTGAGTTCAAAGCCAGCCTGAACTACATAGGGAGACCCTGTCTCCAAAACAAACAAAACAGGAGCCAGGGATATAGCTCAGTGGCACAGCACCTGCCTGGGAAGCCCAAGGTTCTGAGTTCAAGTCCTGGTACAAAAAAGAAAAGAAAAAAGAGAAAAGGCAGTGGGATCCCCGGGGTCCTGCTCTCCGGCTCACAGGGTTTGCCTACCCCACGCCCCCCCACTGACTGCTGCTCCCCCGCAGATCCTGGGGGCCGTGATCCTGGGCTTCGGGGTGTGGATCCTGGCCGACCGCACCAGCTTCATCTCCGTGTTGCGTAAGAGCCCCAGGGCTGGGACGCGCGGGAGGCCGTGGGCAGGGTGGGCAGTGCTGGGCTCCTCTCTGCTGCCCTCCGGACGGGGCCTGGGTTCTGGTTGAGCCAGGCTTCAGCGAATATTCTTCCTCCCCAAATAACACACCCTGGTCCTGGGAGCCCCAGAAAAGCCTCTCACAGGCCAAGCCCTGCATCCCCTGATCCATGTGACTTCCCCACCACAGCACTGCAGGGATGAGCAGGAGGCGCAGGCCCCCACCCAGCCTCGACCCAGGCGTCTTGGGCGCGTGAGTGCCGCTTGTCACGGCGTCTCACAGGGCCAGCTGTCTTCATGCCCCACAGCCCGCGTGGGAGCTGGACAGTGTTCTGTTCCTGCGGCACACAGGAAGAAATAGGGATCTCAGCGCTCAGGAGGCTGAGGCAGGAGGCTCACGGCGAGTTTGAGGCCAGCCTGGGCTCCATAGTGAGACCTGGTCCCCAACAGAGGCTCAGAGAAGTTGAATCACTGATGGGTGTAGGATGCAACCCAAAGCTTTGGTCCTGAGCACAGGTTGGGGTGAGCCACAGCCTGGGAGCCCCTGACTACTCTGGAGCAGAGCGTGAGGATGAGGCTCTTTCCAGTCTCGTGGCATCTCCTCCAGGAAGCCTTCTGGGATTGCTGCTCTGTTCCTCTGCTGGTACACAGATGCCCTGCCCTGCCCTGCCCTGCCCTGCCCTGCCCTGCCCTGCCCGAGGGCGGCCTTGGCTCCCTGGTCCTCCCAGCAGCTGCAGGAGGCAACCAGTTTGAGCTCCAGTCCCTGACAGCTGCTTGGCTTAAATAAAACGGCACCTGGCTAGGACGGGCAATGGGGAGCCTGCAGCTGTCACCCCAGCCTCCAGGGAGGTGAAGCCGGGGTGACCCATCTTTGGCCAGGCTGTCAGCCCTTTCCCGTGGGGTGCATTTCCTGCATCAGCCTCCACACTCTTCCAAGCCAGGGACACCCTCCTCGGCCCTGGTCAGGCCCCCTCCCCACCCAACAGGCACTGCACCCAGGGCAGAGTCCGAGGGCCCCGCTGGCTGCAGTTTTGCCCAGGCTGCACCCTGCCCAGGGCTCTGTGTGTGTGTGTGTGTATGTGTGTGTGTGTGTGTGTGATCCCCAGGGCCTTCGAACTGAGCTCCGTGCCCACCCCGTTAAAGTTTTTATTTTGAGACAGGGTCTCCTAAGTCACTAAGTTGGTGGGTTTGATGTTGAGACCCTCCTGCCTCAGCCTCCCAGACTGGTAGGATTACAGGTCCCCACCACACCCAGCTCAGGGCCCATCACATCACCCTCAGGGCCTAAGCCCCACCCACCCCTGGGGACCTGATTCACCCATATGGGTGGGGCCTGAGGAGGGGATCATTTCAAATCCCTGCAGTCGGTCCTCAGCCATCTGGGGCTCCGAAACAATGACCCACTGGCCAGCACTGTACATCAGGGTGAACTGAGGCTGGGAGCATCACAACCTGCTCAGCTATGTACAGCAGCCAGCAGGGTCAGCACTGGAGCCAGGGCCCCTGACCTACTGTGTGCCAGGCCCGTGTGACATCCCCCCACCCCCCAGTCCTCACATCCAGGCCCTGGGCCAGGCATGTTGCACAGCGCAGGGAGGTGACTCAGGCTCACCTGGCTGGGGGATGCGGCCCCAGGTGATGCCTGCTCCATCCCGCCCTACCAGCCCTCCCCCAGTGCACAACCCGGGGAAGCAGAGCAGCAATCCCGGGAGCTTCCTGGAGGAGACGCCAGGAGACCGGAAGGAGCCTCGTCCTCACTCTGGGCTCCTTTGCTCCGCTCTAGAGGGTCCAGGGGCGCCCTTGCCTGCCCCGCCCCTCATGATCCCTGACCCCAGGAAGCCTGTGTGGCCTCCTGATGGTCTCCGTCCCACCCCACCAGGTTCCGGCCTCACAGCCCCGCTCCCGCATCCTGGGGAGCCTCAGTTTCCTCCTTGGTGCCACCAGCCGCCCCCGCTTAGTTCAGAAGAAATTCATGCTGCCCTTATAGTGTTAGGCACCACCTGGCCAGCAGGGGGCGCAGCAGGGAAAGCCCTCACCTTACCTCGAGCATCCCTGGGTCTGCAGGAGCAGAAATGAGTGAGAAGAGGCGGTAAGGAGTGGAACACGCGTGATCCTGATCGGTGCCAAGGAGAAAACTAGAGCAGGCTGCAGGCCGGGCTGGGTCAGGGTGAGGGTGCAGTTCTCATGAGGATGGGCACATCCAGGGGAGGCAGCCCCTAGGGGGGTGCAGGAGGCTGCCCTCTGATGGGTTACCCCAGTTTAGACAGGGCCTCACTGTGTAGTTCAGACTGGCTTTGAACACACTGTGTAGCCCAGGCTGGCCTCAAACTCAGGCGATCCTCCTGCCTCAGCCTCCCAAGTGCTGGCACAGGCGTGCACTTGGCGCCCAGCCACACCTGCTAATTTTGTCCCCAATGACCCTGCCCTCAGCGAGCCGTGTCCCCGTCTTCCTCCTAGAAACCTCCTACAGCTCCCTGCAGGTGGGCGCCTATGTCTTCATCGCCGTGGGCGCGGTCACCATGAGCATGGGCTTCCTGGGCTGCATAGGCGCCATCAACGAGGTCCGCTGCTTGCTGGGGCTGGTGAGTCGGGGCCCACCCTGGGGCGGGGCATGGGCAGGGAATGGGCGGGGGAATGGGCGGGAGATGGGCGGGGCATCCCCGCTGATCCCCACCCCCCTTCCCCCTTCTGCCTAGTACTTCGCCTTCCTGCTGCTTATCCTCGTTGCCCAGGTGGTGGCCGGGACCCTCTTCTACTTCAACGTGGGCAAGGTGAGTCCTCACCCGCCACATCAGTCTGGGCACCTCGGAGACAAGAAGCCTTTCTGTTATCACAGACACCTCCGGTTCTGTGGACTGTGTGGAGAGCACAGGGGACAGCAGCCTGGTTTGGAGGCTCAGAGACCCTGGCTTTGAGTATCCTCACTGCCATGATGGCTTTTAAGCAGGATGTCACTCACCTCATGGTTACAAGGTGGCTGCCACGGCACCAGACTAGGGAGCCAGTGTTGGGCATTTAGACTCTAAAGACAGAGGCACAGGAGAGAAGGGAGTGGAAAGAGGGTTGGGTCTTGTGACTGTCCCAGAGATCGTTTATGGGGCCTGGTGTATGCACATGGCTTCTTCTGCAGCCTTAGGGATGTGCTGGGAACTGCAGCACAGAGAGGTTAGGCAATTTGTCTAAGGTCACACAGCTCCAAAGTAGCAGACCCAGGATTAGAACCCAGACATCCTGGCTTCTGAGTCCTTGCTGATAACATTTGCATGGTGGTCATTCTCACCTAAATCCTCATTCCTTGTTTATAATCCACACCCAGCCTGTTTTCCAGGAGAACTAGAGCTGGATCCCAACCGGGTAACTAAAGCCAAAATGAGAGAGCAGAACTTATGCTGAGAGGAATACTCTTGTTCCTGACTTGAGTGTTGAGTTTCCTAGCAGCCAAAGCAAAAGGGGAAATCATGGGTTCAGAGGACAGGAGGACATTTACTTGGCTATGAGACAGGCAGAAGCCAGCAGTTCGGGGAGCGAGACTCCTTTCCCAGCAGTGGGGTCATGGGGTCAGGTCTTCACTGCTGTCCCGAGGCACCTGGGGCCTGGCTGGGGACCTTTTGGTGCTTCGGCACCACGCTGGAGCTGGAGGTCCCTTTGTCCAGCTCCCTGCAAGTCCTGGGGGGCACTGAACCCCGTCCCAGAATCTGTTCCTGCAGGGTCTCTGGGTGGGGTCCCGGGCTGTGGGCTGCGCTCCCATAAATGGGGACAGGGACCCCGCCCAGCCACCAGGGCTGCTGTGAACACGGTCGTGCTGTTACAGAGCGGGGAGCTCTGGTGCTCCGAGACCCTGGGTGAGGGACTCAGGCTGTCCGCGCTGCCTCAGTTTCCTCTGTTGCTGTAAGCCGGCCCGTCTCCCATCTGCACCTCTGAAATCAGAGGAAGCCCCGGGGCCCCGAAGCAGCAGTGCACCCACTGGTCCCCGCAGCAGGTGGGCGGTGGCGGGTGCTCGCTGTCCCGTCTCTGTGCATCAGGCCCTCCCTCGGGACAGAACTCAGGTCCTGGCTGCGGCTGGCTGTGCGGCTCTGTCCCAATCCTTGACCTCCCCCAGCGGTGTGACCCGGCGGACACTGGCAGCTGACAGCGCTGGGTCTGGGTCCCTGGGGGGTGGGCGGGGCCCAGGTGAGGCTACAGGGCCTCCTGGAAACTATAGCAGGGGCTCTCCCAGCCAGAGAAGGGATCACTGCTCCCCAGAGAGGTGGTCAGGAAAACCGGGGACCCCCCCAAGCCCCACGTCACGGTGCTTACAGGGCTCCCATTGGACTAAGCAACCATGGGAACACCCTGACCCGTGCCTCAGTTTCCCCGGGGGAAACAGGTGACCTTTCTGTCCCAGGAGGGGAGGAGGGGACCTCGTGAGGGAGTCAGGGTCTAGGTCCGGCCTGGGAGCTTGCTGGCCGGGGCGCCTTGGTTCCCACTGGCTCTGGGGCGCTGCTGGGGGGGTGGCGCCCCCACGCCCTGTAGCAGTACCAGTCCCAGCTCTGAAGAGTTTCACTGCGGGTGAACCGAAAGCTCAGCCTGGGGTCCAAGTGATCCCCATCTCTGGGCTCTGCCCCTGGGTTCTGTCACAGCACTGCTCCCGGCTGGCCGTGGGATCAGGGCCTTCGAGCTGAGCTCCATCCCAGGCCGTTTTTGTTTTGGGACAGGGACTCTCCAAGTTGCGAAGTTACCCTTGCTGGGTTCCAACTTGCAGTCTTCCTGCCTCAGCCTCCCAGAGTGCTGAGATTACAGATGCATCCCGCCGAGCCTAGCCCTTAATAAGTTTCAAAGCAGAGCCTGCGTTTGCTGTTTGCCCCGGGCTTTGATATGCAGCCGGCACTGGGCAGGGCTCCGGCTCCCTGGCACTCGGTGACCCAGCTGAGCGTGCCCAGGTCCCCCGGGTGGCCCTCCTGTCCTCTATGGCCCCTTCTCAGGAAGCCCTTGCCCTCGGGGACAGGGTGAGTCCCCGGCGTAGTCTCCAGGGAGCGGTGCCCCCAGCACCCAGGGTGATGCGGGCAGAGGGGAGGGAGCCCCGTGTTACCTCGGGTCCGTCTGTCCCCGCATGTCAGTCCGTGAGCCTGGGCCTCACACCTGCCTGCCACAGCCAGGGGACAGGGCCTCTCTGCAGAGGGCCGAGCAGCCGCGGGGTGCACTGAGCCCCAGTACCCCCGCCCCGCACCCTCCTGCTCTTTCTTGTGTCTCTGCCCCCCCCCCATTGCCGGGGTGACGGTCCCTGGCGTCCCAACACAAGCCTCTGGGACAGACGCTGCCATCCCCCAGGCTCCAAGCTGAGGCAGCCCCAGCACCTGGTCCCTGAGGCCCAGGGCGCCCCAGTCAAGCTCTGTAAGAGGCGTTTCCATGGAAACCACCTCTGCTGGAAACTCCCCCTTCTCATTTCTGGAGGCCTGGGAAGAGCCAGGGAAGCCCGGCCTTGCGACAGCCACGGGCGTATAAATAGAGCGTGGCTGCTGGGGAGGGCGCCTGGTGCGCGGGAAGGATGTGGTGAGGCGGCTCACACACAGATGCGTCCGAGCGCCCGTCCTCCCCGGGTCTGGGGACCGGAGGCGGAACCAGTGTGGTGGGGACAGAGGACCCAAGCTCTGTGGGCCGACACCACAGCTTCCGGGAGGAAAGCGTGGGTTCTGGAGTCCAACAAGCCTGGGTCTGGACCTCTGCTGTTATGCACACTGGCTGTGTGACTTTGGCTAAGTGAATTAACCTCTCTGGGCTTCTTGTCTGAGTCTCTGTGTTGTGGGAACAGGGCTAGGACCTAGGTCTGTGTGAGGATTGCATTGAGATCCCAGCGCTAACCAGGGCAGCAGAGCAGTGAGGCGCCTGGCCTGCAGGGCCCCTGGGGGTAGGGAGTGTCTGAGCATTTAAGTGGGGCTGGGGGAACCCCACTGACAGACTTCCTGGAAGGCAGGCTCAGAAAGCCCCCGCCCAGCACCCTGTCCTGCCTCACCCAGGTCCTCTTTCTCCGGAAGGGAGGGCCGCAAGGCCTGGCCTTGCCTTCCTCATCCTGGGCCGGCAGCCACGGGCTGGGGCCCGAGTCCCCGCTCCCCCAAGCCCCTCGCCTGCCTCATTTGCCATCAGTGTTTGCCGTGGGGCAACTGAAAGCTGGGTGCTTCTCACCACGGCCACCAGGGAGCTCAATTCCTGGCCAGGGCGGGGCAGTGCAGTCAGGACAGGACCGAGGCTCCATGCGCCAGTCCTGGGGCCCTGATGCAGTCTCCCCGGAAGAACACCGGGCCCCATTCTCCTGCCTGGCCTCTCACGTCTGGGCAGTGGAGGCCCAGCAGTGGTCCGTGAGTGCCCCCTACAGGAGAGGGAAGCCAGGCCACCATGCACCCGGCACCCCCGGCTGGGCGTGCACAGGTGGGTCATCTGCGTGCCCTGTACACCTGTACAGGGCTGAGCGGAAGTTGACTGCGCCCTCGCCCCCGCCCCCGTCCACAGCTGAAGGAGGAGATGGGCACCGTGGTGTCGGGTCTCATCCAGAACTACAACGCCAGCAGCGGGGACGGCCTGCAGGAGGCCTGGGACTACGTGCAGGCGCAGGTGAGTGCCCGCACGTGGCAGTGCCCGCCCGCCTGCCCCGGCCGCACTGCACTCGCCGGCCCAGTCTGTGGATGTCCTCGCAGGGCTGGGGAGGTGGCTGCGCCTCGCTCAGGCATGGGACAGGCTGGGGACGCCCTTACCCCCAGAGGGGCCAGGCTTTCAGCCAGGGAGGAGGCAACCAGGCAGGGGGAATAAGGAAGCGAGAACCCGTTACCTGAGCCGGGCGTGGTGGCACCCCACTGTAACCCCAGCTTCCCAGAGGCTGAGGCAGGAGGATGGGTGTGAGTTCCAGGCCGGGTCTCTAAAGAAAAAAAAGAAATGCTGGTTTTTGGCGCCCCCTGCTGGCTGCAAAGCCCCCTGCGGTGGCCGGCCCGTACTAGCGACTCGAGCAGTAGCTGTAGCTGGAGCGCGCCCTCCTTCCCCACAGAGGGTACCGATTTCTCCTTCAAAACACAGAAGTGACCGTTTTCACTTCGGTGACCTGGAAGCTCAGAGCCAAATTTCAACTGTGCACAGGCTCAGCATCTTATGGTAGGGCTGGCCTTGCTGCGCTCCTTGCTACTGGACTTGTGGGATCTGTGCCCACCTCAGCCCGCACTTCAGGAGCCTGTGTGTCCCTTTTTATAGGAAAGGAAACTTTTTTTCTAGCTTCTGGGAGCAAGGTCGCATGCATAGTCCAGGCTGGCCTCAAACTCACTGTGTCGCTAAAGTCGGCCTCACATTCACAATGCTCCTCCTGCCTCAGCCTCCTGAGTGCTGGCATGACAGGCGTGCACCACCCCGCCCAGCCTGAAAGCCATTTCTATCCGTCCTGGCTCACAGAAGCCAAAGTGGACCCCACACTGCAATCCCAGCAGCTCGGCTGGCCCCGGGGTCCTGGATGCGGTCTGTCCAAGCCCGGGGCGGGGAGGAGGGAGGCGGCCTGCAGTGGCCGTGGGACACCACCCGTGCCGCCCTGCCAGGTGAAGTGCTGCGGCTGGGTCAGCTTCTACAACTGGACGGACAACGCGGCACTCATGAATCACAGCGAGGTCGTCTACCCCTGCTCCTGTAAGAACAGAAGCGATGAGGACATCAGTTTCTATGATGTAAGAGGCTTCTGCAGCGTCCTGAACGCCACCCAGGACGGCAACAACCCCGAGAAATGGCCGGTGTACAAGGAGGTGAGCGCCCCTCCTGCAGCGGGCCCAGGGGGGGGACACCCCGCGCCCCCGCCGCTCGGGTGCCCCGGGCAGCGCTGCGTGTCGTGGAGGGGCTGACGCGGCCGTGTGTCACCGCAGGGCTGCAGGGAGAAGGTGCAGGTGTGGCTGCAGGAGAACCTGGGCATGATCCTGGGCGTGTGCGTGGGCGTCGCTGCCGTCGAGGTCTGTCCCTTGCCCTCTGGGCTGGGCTGGGGGGGGCGGGGGTGACCCGCAGGGCGAGGGGCCCATCAGCTTCCGGCTGAGTCCTGCCTGGCTGTGTCCCTCCTGGGCCTCTGCTGCCTGCATCCCAGGACGATTTTCAGGCCCAGATTGCTTGATCTGGGTAGTGGGAGGGGACTCCGGGCCCGGATGGGCCGCCTCCCTGATGCCCCTGTCCCCCGCAGCTCCTGGGCATGCTCCTGTCCATCTGCCTGTGCCGGCACATCCGCTCCGAAGACTACAGCAAGGTCCCCAAGTACTGAGGGGCCACTGCCCCACCTCCCTGCCCCATCTCCAGCCTGATGCCCCCCGGGGGCTCCCTGGCTCCTCCCGCGCCCCTCCCCTCGCCGAGCTGGCTGGAAGTGGGGGCCTTCTGGGGCTCGCATCTCTCTCCCTGCCTTTTTGCCGCTGGCACTGAGCCCCGCTCGCTGCCCACCGGCCAGGGGACTCCCAATGGCTCCGAGGATCACTGCCCACATCGTCCTGCCTGGGCAGCCGCGTGTGTAGTTTACAGGGGCAAGCGCGTTGAACTGGGGGAGGGCTGCATGAGGCGCCAGAGCCACTGGGCCACGCCGAGTGAGGGCAGGACCATGTGAGCCCTGAGTGGGGACGGGGCCTGCCTGCTGGGAACACGGGAGCCCTCGGGGCACAGCAGACTGGCCCTGCGTCCTGCAGAAGCCGAGGAGAGGCCGGGCCAGCCGGCTTGGCAGCTGCCCCTGTCCCCTGTCCCCTGCCCCCCCACCCCCAGCAGCGGGTGCTGAGCCTGCACCTCGTGGGGGCGGCGGGTCTCCGTGTGCTCGGTCCTGTACAACAAACCGCAGGCTCTGGGACTATTAAAGTGGGTTTGTAACAATCCTGCTGGAAGCGGTCGGGCCATTTTCTCCGCGGGTGGGGAGGACTTGCGGCTGGGGAAAGGAGGGGGCTCCCTGCCGCCCCGCATCCAGTGCAGCTTCTCCCAGCCAGCCTGGCTGCAGCTTTCTAGAGCATCAAGCTTTGATAAGGATCTGGGGAAGGAACCCTTCCCATACCAGAGGCACAGAGTCACGCGGGCAGAACCCAGGGCCCCTTTGAGATGGAATGGGAGACTGTATGGGGGGGTTCATACAGTGTCTCCCTGCTAGCCCAGGCTGGCCTCAAGGGAGGGAGGGACCCGGGCTCCCAGGCGCGGTGCGGAGGCGTGTCAGCAGGGCCCACCAGGGGGCGCTGCCGCCTTGGTCTAGGAGGCTGGGTACCGCAGGCTCGCGCGCTCCGGAACCTGTGTGTCCCTGGTGCCCTCGGAGCATTTGTGACACTGCAGGTGCCAGGGGTCCAGGACTCTGGCGTGGATGACTTCCCCCCTCTTCAGTGGCATCTGGAAAGTGGGTGCTTTAACTCCACACTCACGGCATCACCGGGAATGGTGCCTCCCATGTGCTGGTGGACGCTCGTGTCCTCCAGGGAGGTCCTAGGCAGAGCCCTGGGCCTTGTGCCTCCAGGACAGGGCTGGTCCTGCGTCCCAGCGGCTGCCCACGTCTCTTCCCTGCGGGTGGGCGCTGTCATGCGCAGAGCCAAGCCTCTTCCTCTCTGTCACCTCAGGTGCTCAGCCCCCGCCCTGGGCACAGGGTGCTTCCCGCAGGACGCTGGGGTGTGTGGGTGGTAAAGGACCAAAGGCAGAACCGGGGGACCCCTGGGACTCCTGGGGGCTGTGCAGCGGAGGGAGCCAGCAGCACTGCAGGGGCCAACGTGCCACCCCATCCCACACCTGGGGAGCCCAGCTCGGGCCATCAAGGTGACAGGGACCCTGGAATCCCAGCCGCTGTCCCAGCCCTCCGGGTCCCGCTTCCTGAAGGGCGTGGAACTGGGCTCCTTCTGTGGCGGGGCTGAGCTGTGACCTGAGGTTTGCAAACCCCGACCCCTCCCCACTCCTCCCCACCCTCCTGCAGCTGTGCCGAGGGGCTGGGTCAGCCTGGGCACGACGGGCTGCTGAGACTGTCAGCTCTCCTCCCGCCTGCCTGTGACAGGTGCCAGCCTGCTGAGCTCAGCCTAAGGCTTGGGCTACAAAAATGCTGGTGCCTCAGGCCCTCAACTTGGGGGTAGATGATCCCACGGCAGTAACCAGTTGACTGGGTGACAGTCATGACAGCCACCATGTGTTGAGGGCCAGCTGCATGCCAGGCCCGGTCCTGGGCCTCATTACATCCTCCAGGGAGCTCTGAGGGTTGGCGTTGATGCCTCAGTGTACAGAGAAAGGCACACCAATAATCTCAGCATTTGGGAGGCTGAGGCAGGAGGACTGCTGAGAGTTCCAGGCCAAGTTGGGCTATCTGGTGAGATCAAGGCCAGCCTGAACTACATAACAAGACCCTGTCTCAAAAAACAAAATGGAAAAAAAAAAAAGGAGAAAACTCAGAGGAGATGCAGGTCTGCTGCAAGCTGCTGCAGTCAAGACACACAAGTCCAGACCGAAGTCTGTCCCCAGGGACGTGGGCCATGAATCCCCTTCCCAGCCTGTCTCAGTGTGGCCGCAGCATAATGTATTCCACACACAGGCGCTGACGTCATGAGCACAGCGGCGCCTCACCCTACTCTCAGCTGCCCTGGAGGCTCCCCCTCCGCTGCTGGGAAGACAGACACTGAACGGCGGCCTCTACCCCCGAAGAGCGTCCGTGACTTCCTTCTTTCCCATGCCAACCTCTGTTCTGTCTGCAGATGTTTAGCGGAGACCTCTTAGGTGCCTGTTTCCAGAATGTTCTTTCTGCCATGGGACATTTTCTTGGGCATTACTCGGCCCTGAGTTCTTTTTACCAACATGGGGTGAGTTAGGGTTCTCCCCACTTTGGGGACCAGCCGTAATTTTTTGGGGGGGCGGTACTGGGAATCGAACTCATGACCTCAGGCTTGCCAGGCAAGCGCTTATGCTGCTGAGCTATATCCCCGGCCCCGCTCTCCCCACTTTGGGTACTGAACAGAGTCTCGCTGTGCAGTTCAGGGCAGCCTTGAACTCACTGTGTAGCCCAAGCTGGCTTCAAACTCACAATCTTCCTGCCTCAGCCTCCTGGTAGCTGGAATCACAGACATGCATCCCTATGCCCGATGAGTCGCTCCCACTTTGTAGTAAAAAAGGAGGGTTCCGCAGACAGGACTTGGTTCCAGGTTTGGCTGAATGCAGGCGGATCTCAAGCCTCTTCCTCCATTGCCACAGCTGTGGCGTTTTCAACAGGGGATTCCGACTTTCCCCCGGGGCTCTGTGCAGGGCAGGCTGAGAGGAGAATGGGGCTACTGGAAAATGTCCGTGTCCCCAAGAGCTGGTTGGCTGCTGGTGCCGCCTGCTGAGGCCCCGGGTGCTGCCGTGCGTGGCAGCCGGCGCCCGAGGGGAGGAGAGGTGGCTGCGTGCTCCAGCCTGCGCCCTCCTGTCGGAGCTGACAGTCACGGCGGCCTTGGTCCATGCCCGCCCCACTGTTTAGCTGCTGGACCGCTGCCACGTCCTGCCGCCAGGCCCCGGGCACCGTGCCCTGCCCGCCCTGGCTGAGCCTTTACCGATAGAGAATTGAGAGGAGTTCGGCCGCCCTGCCCTCCTGGGGTGAGGGCTTAGCCGCAGGCCTCCAAGGGGTACAGAGCCCAGTTCCCACCTCCAGCGCCTCTTCGGACCGGAAGCTCCGGGCCCAGGGTCCTGGTCAGCTGCACGCAGCCCAGAGTCCCGCGTGACCTGGGGTCTCAGATGCTGCGCGAGGGAGCTGGAGGGGCACAGGAGCACTGGGGCCTGCGGGTGTAGAAATCGCAGGGTCACCCCATTTCCCAGAGGAGCTGAAGTGGCGAGGTGGCCCAGCGTGCGCGCGTCACACCGCTGACACCGAGCGGCCACCCAGGCCCGGGGCAGGCTCGGCCTCGCGGCTGCCAGTCCCCTTCTGCGACAGGTCACGCTGGAAAAGTGTGGCCGCCCAGCCAGACTCCAGAGGCGCGGCTCGGCTCGGCGCCTGCCCCCAGCTTGCGCTGCTGATGTCCTGGACTAAGTCACAGGCCCTGAGGCCCTGCCTGGCTCCCTGCTGTGCCGCGCCTCTTGCCACAGTGCTCTGGCCCGCATTTCTCAAAAGCTCGCGCCTCCGGAAGTGCAGCCGCACCGAGAGCCACAGCCCTGCGCACGTCTGAGTGCGCATGCACGCGTTTGCAGGGCTGAGCGGGAGTTTGTGACTGCGTGCACCGACGTGCGTGTGCGTGCGTGCAGGTCTACGGCAGGGCTCCGGGGACCGAGCTTCCCAGCCCTAGAGCCCCAGCTGTTCGGGGAGACAGGATGGGCAGGTGGGCAGGGGACCGAGAGCAGCAACAGGAGGAGCTGGTCGCACCCAAAGGGACTCGGGGCCCTGCTTCAGCAACTGAGTGACAGGAGCCCCACTCGCTCCGCTTGGGGACGCTGGAGGAGGAGCTCGGCAGGGACAGATGCGGAGCTCGGACCCAAAGCAGGTCAGCGCCCGCGGAAGGGCAAAGCAGGGCCGGGAGGCCAGGGAGGAGGGCAGCAGCTTACCCCGGGGTGTCTGAGGCCCGCGGATGCCCAAGGCCTGTTGCCGAGACCCCGCCCTCCATGGACCAGGAGAAGATGGCAGCTTGTGTCCATGCAGGTCAGGGAACTCTAAAAGAGCCAGCAAGGGCTGCTGCCTGCTCGGAAGCGCGGAAGGAGAGGGCTGGGAGCCCCGGAGGTGGTCGGAGGACAAGGACCTGGCCTGCCGAGATGCTTCCCAAAGCACAGCTCCCTTCCTCCCCTTCCTGCTCTTCCTCCTCTTCTTCCTCTTCCTCCGTGTCCCCTGGTCGTCCAGGTTCTGTGGCCCTGTGACTTCAGGAGGTGACACGGCAGACGGCCTGCACCTGGAGAGCCAGAGGGTGGGGACGCGGCCCCTGGGACCCCACATGGCCTCAGCGTGAGGAGTCCAGCTCTGTGGTCTGGGGACCTGCTCTCTCTGTGGCCTCGGACCCACAGCGACCAGGACAAGAGCTGCCTGGGGAAGAGTTCTCGGAGCAGGGACCTGTGCGGGGAGGGAGGAGGCCCAGCCTGCGCCAGCGGCTGCCTGCAAGGGGCAGGAGGGCAGTGGGAGATCTGGATGCCACCAGAGTGGCAGCAGGGACTGTCCACGCCTGCAGCCCCTCAGGCCCTTCTCATGGCTAACCCGTGCTTGCCGCTTTGTGCAAGTGAAGAATTTGTGTCACCTAGCAGCGGCCAGAAGAGTCGTGGGACTGCAAGACCTCTTATCCAGGAAGGGGGGTGGTGGTGTCCTGCGGATGGTAAGGTGACACTGGGGACAGCGGTGAAGTGGCTTTCCTTCTGCACCCATAGCCGGCTCTGCTGGTCTCTGCGCTCCGGGAGATGGGTGTTAGTGACGGTGTGACTCTGTTCCTCTCCTGAGTGTGAGCTCCCCCAGGAAGGTCCCCATCAGTCGGCTCTGTCCCCAGGCACAGACCCAGAAGATCCTCGCCCTCCCTTCCAGCCCCTGACCTGCTGCTCAGAGGAGGTGACGCTCGGCTGGGGCGGGGGGGGGGGGCAGCCCAGGCTCTCAGGAATATGGACAGGGATTCGTCCCCTCCAAGGGTCACTGCCATAGATCAGACTGTCAGCAAGCGATGGCAATAAGCTGTCAGACAGCCAGACAGCTGGGCATTGATTGGGGACAGCGTGCCAGACAGACAGGCAGACAGACAGACACACAGTCTGAGGGTCGCTCCATGTGCGCAGTCTGACCTGGACACTACTTTCTAGAGTCCCTGTCCAGAGACTCCCAGGGGTCTTTCCTTCCCGGAGGCCCCGGCCCGGCAGGCCCAGCCTGGGGTGCTCCTGGCCAGGCGCCCAGCCCCAGCACGTCTCGGACTTGGCAGTGTCCTGCTGCGGCTCCCGT